CACAGACATACAAGACTACCGTTTCAGGATTTCCGGCAGCCATTGCGTCTGCTCCGGTGAGGTGGTCTATAGGGAGAGAGGGGGTAGGCTGGGAGCCAGAATTTCCAGTTTTAGGAAAATCCGACAAAGCTTCAAGAATAACTCCGGCCAGATGATCAACTCCAGCAGCCGAGACAGTGCCGGCGCTGACTCCGGCGTAAGGCTGGTCGGTGCTAGCAAGGTGGGTATTGGCTGCCGGTGTGGAGGGAGCTAATGTTAAAAATTGGGAGGGGATCCGTGTGGTGGGCTGGGAAATTGGATTGTACTGGGTGAGATGTAGTGAGGTTTGGGCTGGGAAATCGGTATGGGTGGAAAATTTGTTTTGTTTGTTTGGCCCGAGAATGTTTTGGGTGATTGGGCTGGGAGAGCTATTTTGGGTGGTGGGAGTTTTGTGGGCCCGAAAGATTCTGATGGTGCTAGGTTAGTTGTATGATTGTGCTAGGTTAGTTGTCTGATGGTGCTAGGTTAGTTGTCTGATGGTGCTAGGTTAGTAGTTGCTAGGTTTGTTTTATGCTGGTGCTAGGTTAGAAGTCTGATTGTGCTAGGTTTTTTTTTTTAATAAAACGCCATGGGGGCGGGGGATTGGGCTGGATCCCCAACCTGTATATAGATCAAGACCCCAAGAGAGGCCCAAATATCAACCAAGTACAATCAACATAGTCTCACAATCAAAAGAGAAAACAAAAGCAGAAAAGGAAAAGGAAAGATGTGCGTAATCTTGTGATGGACAGACCGTAGGAGAGCTCTAATGCGCATAAGCGGGTGCTGAATCTGCCACGAGCCCTGGTGGCCCGAGGTCAGGATGGTAATGACCGCCGCAGCGTCCAGCTCGATCCAAATGTGACTAGAGAGGTGGGCAGCGAGATGAAGGCCAATCTGTAGAGCCTGAATCTCTGCATCGTAGCTCGAGGAGGCCTAAAGGGACATGTGGAAGGCGGTGATAAGAGCGCCGCTGTGGTCCCGGAT